GGATTCAGAAATTTTGGCAAAAAATTGGGTTTTGGTTGCAATTCATTTACATTTTTTCATTGCTAAAATATGGAATTAGAGAGGCATGCCATTTGAATTGTAATGAATGGCTTCCACCATTATCAATCAAATAATATATATATATATGTATAAATATAATCATATATAGCATGCACGTGGCTTGATTCCTACAGCCTGTATAAGTTTGAAAATGGATTCCTTTTTCTCTCCTAAAATGAACATAGACAAAAAGGAAGAGATTTCAAAATGTAACAGTGATATAACATGTTTAGCATTTAATTAAATTATTAAAATTAATTCCCATAATCTCATGCTCGTTGGGGTGTGTTTTCAATCATAATGTAGCCACCATGGTCTCAATTAATTAAGATAGTGAGCTTCGTTTAATATATATTTACTGGCTAATGGTCATAATTGGCTAGCACAGATAAAACTAACCTGGACAATTTCCATTAATTACAAGTGATATGGACGAAACTAGTAAAAAAAATTACTTAATGTAAATGCTTAAATCAACCATATCAAATAAATAAAAAATAAGATAAAACTCATCTTTCAATGTATAAAATGATTTTCTTTTTTAAGAATTATCATACGATATGATTTATATAATCATTTTTATAAAATAACATTTAATAAATTTAATTTTGCAATTCATTCGTTTATCTATAAACCATGACCTCCTTTGTAGAAAAACGTACCATTCATTTTGCAGCCAGCATTTCCTTTGGGAAGGGGACACGGGGAGTTCACCAATGAATTTGCTTATTATTATTTTTTTTTTTTCATGAACAGAATGTTAATCCATGGCTTGTGAGTTACAAAAGGAGCCCGACACATACAGCACCCCAATAACAACCTTTTAATAAAATCACTATGTACGTTTGGCTTTAAAAAAGGGTTAAAACCATAACTATTTTAGACTTTGCACATGAATAATGCATCAAATTATCCTTCTTGTTGGGGTTAGTAATATAGTATTATATATTTATATATTATATATATGAAAAATTAGCTTAAAGATAAAGAATAGATTCAAGAATTTTACGTCTTAGCCCTCTTTTCTTTCTTTTTTTTTTATATTTTTTATATGATTTATTAACACTCTTGATAAGTAACAATCAATATGTAGTTATAATTAAATATTTTGATAGATGAGAGCAAGGCATATTCATTCTTCACATTACATTCTTTTCTTTTTCATGTTTCTTTGTTTGGTTGTTTTTCTATACACTTTAAGTGTGTCGCACAAAATGAAACTTCCTTTAAAAACTTAATAATAATTCTTGATTCATTAAAAAACAAAAAGGGACCATATTGATCTATATAAATAAGTATTTTGTTCAATGATAAATGCGATTATTACTTGTTACAAGAGACCGATTTGAACTTTCTTCCCAAGTTTTATTTTTAAAAAAATATATCATTACTCACCAATGTAATAAAATAAAAAACCATTTATATATGAATTTATATTTGTTATAGTGTATATAAATTTTATACATTGTTATTAAATCATATGATACTAATTCATTAATGAAAGTTTTTGCAATCAAATTTTTGTATATTTATTTTAAAAATTTATAAAAAATTATATTTACTTATTAATGATTTAATATTATATTGTTTATTAATAATATATAAAAATATATATTAATAATGTATCAAATATTTCTTAATTAAAGCTTTTTTTTATAACATGATACAAAAAAATTTCATCGCATCACGTTATTCTTTTATGATTGAACTCATTTTTTTTCGATCAACTGAAAAATTTTTTTATATCAGTGGATCGGGTAGACTTGAATTGGGTGGTCCATTAAGATACTGTCATTGTTGGGCCCAGTAAAATACTATCTCATCGCTTCCTACTTCCTTCCATAATTTTCTGATAGCCAACGCAAGCGCACTACCACACCCTTACATATATTATGAAAAAGAAGCATTTGATTCAATAATAAATATATTTTTTTTAATAAAAAAGTTTAATTTTAAAAATATATATAAGAAGTACAAACTAAAAATTATAGAATACCATACAATTTTATTTCCATGGTAATAATTCTCCTCACTTGATTTGAATAGCATGAAGTTTTTGGTTGGGAGTTTCTATAATTAATAGCTTCTTTTTCTTCTTTCCTTCATTATGCAACTATCCCATCTACAATTTTGAATGTCCTATGAATTATTGATTGAAAATTTGTTTGTCAATTACAATAGAACATGTTTTAAACATGACAATTGTGTTGAAAAAGAGTACTACAAATATAAAAATTGGAGTAAAACACTTGATACCATTCTCAAAAATGAAATATCATCGAATTGTAAAAATAATTGGTTAATAAGATAAAACTTCACTCTAAATAATCATTTATGTTTTTATTAAAAAATCTATACATAATAATTTTAAACATTATAGAGTAATGCGATAGGAAAAATGATAATTTAAAATTTTAGTAAGAATCATATATAAGTTTGACAACATATGTAGAATGTGATTCTTATTTTATTTGTTGATGTAAATTGCGATTTATTAATTTTATGTTTTATACATATTTGATATGAAATAAATATAATATGAATATATAAAACCCTACAGTACTAAAAAGAGAAGGTCAAGGCAGCCAAAGTTTATAACTCTCAAGTATAGGTAGTTTTATGCAATAAAGAGAGTTTATTAGAGCCGTTGAAAGCTAGAAGGTTGTGGTTGTGGGACATTTCAAACTCAAAAAATTTTCCAAACTTGTTTTAAAGGCTTGCATGTGCACTGTACAAATGTGCAGTTAATTGCAAAGATAAAGAAAAGGAAACAATAGACCTAAACATAAGTAAAGAAGTTGGGGATTTTGACATTTTTGAAGGAATCAAAAGGTTGATTTTTATTGCTAATCAAAGCCTTATGTCCTTTTGTCTGCCAAAGCAAAAAGTATCTAAAAGGTTTTGGATTCCTGATTGCCTTAGAATGTAACTACTAGAATGAAACCAATGATGTTTCTAATTATTGCTTTTGCTTTTGCTTTACTATGGTAATAATAGGGGATAACCCCAAGTTTTTTGGCTGGAATTTGGGGCTAGAACCCCAAACATGTGGACATGACTATTTGAGCCGAAGTTCAAGGTCTAAGCCAGTTTTGGTTGTGCTAAATTATGTTGTTGAAAACACCACATGGTTAAAACTATCCTCTCCCAATATAGTGGCTTGGATCAGAATTCAGAAACTAGCTGTGGGTAAATGAATCGTCCCTTAGATTTCAATCAATAACTAGCCAAAGGAGAGGTTTATGCAGTTTGAATAAATTGAACCAGTCCACTTTGTTTCCTAAAGTAACATATTATCATTGCAGATTGTTTCATGGAAGGAAAAAATGGAGAGAAATCAAGTAAGTGTACCTCAAAATCCAGTTTGGCTCTCCGAAATGTCCATTCCATTTATCAGTCAAGAACTCGAAATCTGGTTAACGGATGCTGCAGCTGAATGGCTCATTTTTTTTTTTGTATTATGACCCCATGACCGTTTTCAAGTTTTACATCTTTCTGTTATATCATTTGAGGAATTGTCTGAAAATTTTGACAAAACTAAGACCATCAATTTTGTATCTGTAGTACAGTGATGACTGGTAGATGTTAGAACAGCAAATCTGGTCAGAATTCAAGTGGGAAATCAATGCTGGAGAGTAATACAAAAGGACAAATGTCATTGTTAATTTTCCCTTTTTCTTTGAAATGAAACAAGGATGTCTCTATCACAGCTGATAGTTGGGGAACAGTTAATAGTTTTTCAGAACAGGCTCTGCTGTCTAATTAAAATCATGAAGCTTTCCTGGTAGTCTGATAATGGGTGAAACAGATAGAACATGCTACTGCAATATCAGCAAATGGGTGTGTGACTGCCTGATTGGAGTTAGGTGTATACTGGCTGGAGTACTCGCTTGGTGCCATCTTTAGAAGCAATTCAAGCATCACTAGTTTACTTACGCAAGTTGGATTCTTCATGTCAAGAAAAAAAATAATTAAGCACCCGAGTATTCGATTCAATAGTTGGTGCATATATCTTTTGCTCAAAGAGCTAAGTTCGAATCTCCTTACTCCAAATAAAATGACTTTGCCAAAGATATGAACATGGTGTATTTTTAATTTTGTACCTTCCATTGACTTGAGACAAAATTTAATAAAACACCATTTGTGAGGGCTATTGTTAATTTACGTTGTCATACTTTTCTTCTCTTTTGACTAGCAAAAACTGCATCACTCCTGAAGAACATGGAGTTGGTGAGATGATGGTAGATACTCATTCTAGAAAGCTATAAGTGATGAACTGAGCTTGGAAAAATACATCTAAAACAGGTGTTTCTACGCAGCCTGTGCTTCTCGAATTAAAAGCATGAAGCTTTGTCTGACTAATTTGCATAAAAGAGTTTAATCAAGTGAAGTTTGGAGTGAATAATTAGGCTATGATAACCTTGAAATTTTGCAATTAAATTACTATAAAGCAGTGATGAAAGAGATTGCCCAAACTATAGAACACTGCTGGCTATCCTTTGTCAAACAGCAGAATGGTGAGATTGTTTGGTTAAGTTCTGGTCAAGGTATTGTGCAGCTCGAACTTTGGATACAATCAGGCATGCCATTATTGCTTGGATGGTTATTCTTGATGGGCTTCTTACTGAGCAAAGAATCAGGTTTTTGGGTGATTCCAATGTCAAAAACAAACTGTGATCTTTTAGACGAGGAAATGGAGTCTAGAGATCCCTTACATTTTACTTGTGAATTCATTAAGCAAGTTTAGCAGCAAATTATCAAACTTTGTGGCATTCAAAAACAAGTTGGAGAATAGTCCAATAAATTCAGATGGATACAACAGATTAAGGGAAAAGCCCTACTTGTAGTTACGCTTAGACTTGCATGGACGGTTGTGTGCCCATCTTTGTTCAGTTACAATCAGGCTGCTTCCCATATCTTTAAATTGGGCCTGGAAGGTATAAATTAAGAATAAAGGGCCTTCCCATTAAGACTTGGGTTTAGTTGTTTTAACCCCAATGAAGATCATGTAATTCGTTCAAGATTTTACATCACTGACATTTCTTGTTACACAAACAACAATCTTTTGTTATTGATATGAATACAAGAAACTTCAAAAAATTTTACAGTATCTTGGAATGGGGAAAAAAGGAAATAAAGAAAAATATGAATCTGACACAAAATACAATCTATCAACTACTATATCGAACCCTTGGCACATGAAATGCACCTCAAAAACAGACAATGGAGTAAGCAAATTGATGGCATAGAGTCCAGGTAGTCACATCTACTGTAATAAGACAAATAGCATTTCCAGCCGTGTTTATTTGTAGGTTCCCATCCCGACACCGGTCTCTCCACCGTAAGCCTGGAAGCTTTTCTCGCTAGCACTGGAATAGCAAATATAGTAGAACTTATTGACTATGGCATTTAAGAAAATGAAAGCTGCCCCCGCAGCAAAAACTCCCTTCCTCACAGTTTCACAGGAAGGAGGCTGCTCGCTGAAAATGGTCCGGTATTTGGTATGGTAGGCATTTCTCACTGATCCGGCCAGCAAGCATATCTCAGCAATTATGAACAACAACCTGTCACAGGCAGTTTCAAGAATCAGACAAACAACCAAATCCAGAAATCAACAATCAAAATAGTTAATATGGTGAAATTGTCACATACCAACAGACTATGAAAAGGATAACTGCCCAAGCCCTTGAACCACTGGGGTTTAAAGCCTTTCCACAGCAGAAGCATCGGCTTGCAACCATTATGAGGGCTTGACTGGCCATAAGGAACAAAAATGCACCAACACCATAGCCTGTTGATATGTCTGAATCATAGACACAATAGTTATAATTAACTTCACTATCCTGGACAATCTGGGCCTGCACGAAGATACAAATACACCATAAATTAGTTGCTTTGGATTAGCAATCTCTTTCCACCTAAACAGAATTAACAATTCTTCTCAACAAGCACAAAAGCATATTACCCCACCCAGCCTGATGCCAAGTTGGTTGGTCAAAGGAACTCAGACAATACATGTTTTCATTGCCCATTGCCAAGAAGAATGGACATATCAGGCACAAAGTGATTGCTTTCCAGTTGTTTTTTGTTTGAAAGTAGTTTAATCTTTTGACTAATGTATTAGATTTTTAGAAAGCTCATGTATTTATGATTTTAATAATTGAAACGTGTCACCGTGTTTGAAGATCACCATTTAACTTCATATCATACACAATTTTACATTTCATATCAGCTGTAACGAATTTAGACTAATTCATCTATTGGAATAAAAAGAATAGCAAGATTTTGATGCTTGTTTCTTAGCACCAGCAACAAGTAGAAAATGCTGCTTAGCTATATTATCAACTACAAACATTGACTAGAACCATAAAAAAATCAGGTGCTACTTGCTTTCTCACAAAAGATAAATCAGATTTGCTTCTAAATCTACGAAGACAAGTTCTTTCACTAGATCCACAACGACAATCCCCATAACCTCTCTCAGGTTGAAGTAGAGTTGAGAGAGAAAAAAAGAACACAAAGATCTACCATTTTTGTAGAAATTCAGCTCAGATCTGGTAAGTTTATGCTTAATTGAGAACTGTATCTTGTAAAACCACGTTGTTTTTCCTTTTATTTGATTGCTGAAAGGAGAATTCAAGCTTGAATACTCTGTTATCAAGCTACCCTTGTTGCCCAAGATCAAGATCAAGTCATTTCCTCTATTTCACAGCCTAAAGAGAAATAAGAACAAGGAAATTTCTTTTCTTTCTCTACAACTTCTATAGGCAACAAAAGCAGCAGATTTACATTTATAGCTAACAATTCAGCAACACAAAGAATTAAACATTTGCTAATGTACATCAAACATAAAATCAGTTCTTGTATTTCTTCCTTAGCCAAAAACCAGAAAAAGAAAGTTTCTTTTCTTTTCTACATCGACAAAAGTGACAAAAGCAGCAATTTCATACATGCAGCGAAAAACCGAGAAAGATAAATCAACATTACCACTGTTCTTCAACAAAAAAAATTCACTTTCTTTCATTTTCCTTCATTTTCCAGCGAGAAAGTAGAAAACTTTCAATAAACCCAGAAATCATATGAGCTTATATAATCCAACAAAAAAATGCAGGAAAAAGTGAGGTGGGAAAGTAGACTCACAGTGCTTCTTCTTTGTTCAGCTGCAACAGCTAAACCAAAAGCAATGAGATCAAGAACAAAGACAGCAATCAAAAGAAGCTTAGAAGCCATGGATAAATGGAGCTAGCTTCTATAACCCAACAAGATCTAGCTACCCTTTTCTCTGTTTTCTGGCCTCTACCTTTATCTCTCTTTGCTTTGCTCTTTCTCCCTCAAACTCACTCTCTAAATATAAAATAATCACTTTCAGTATTAAGGAAGCAAGGCAAATGATTAAAATGTAGATAAAAATTAGAAAAACATATAGTTTTTCTTTTAGAATGTAATTTTCACAAGAAAATGACACCTCACCTTAGCTTGAAAATGGGGTTTTAACCTTCTTTTTCAAAAAATTGTTTTTAAAAACATAGAATATGTTGAAGCATTTGGTGCGGTAGGATTAAAATTTTTAAAGCCAACCGGTGACCTCATCAATATACATTGATACACATGTATATTGAACCAGGTGCAATAAAAAAATTAAATTAAAAAATTTTGATAATAACAGAAATTAAGAATTAAAGGGCTTTTTGTTTTTCAATTTTATTTTTTTTCTTCTTTCTAATTTTAAATGGATAAGTTGAACCAATTGATGAAAAAAACCCCTCCAACCGGTTCAAACACTGGTTCGGTTTTTAAAAACATTGGATCAAAGCATAGCTGATTAAAGTAGAATGTTCAAGTGCCTGGTTTCTTTGTTGGAGGGAGAGATTAGTTAAAAGGGTAATATGGGTATATTGAGAAGTTAAGGTACAAGAGCTTAAAGCACAAGGTCCAAGGTTATCGAAGGACGATGCTTGTTTGGAAAGTGAAGTTAGTTGGAAGGCTCCTCATGAAAGGGAACAAACACCCGCCATAATTAACTGCCTTTTGGAATCCTCCAAAGGAAGCTCTTGAAGTACAATTTATTTTAGCATAAGGTACCAACATCTATAGCATGTATTGCACACTTTGGAAGGAGAAAGATTAGAAAGAGTGATTTGGTATATGTTCCATGAAAAAGAGTTGATACCCACAAAAGTAAAGTGTGATTGCAATGTCAATTTCCACTTTAACATTTTTGTTTTCTCAATTTTATAATTGAGATGATAATAAAAATAATTTTTTTAAAAAAATTATTTAATTGTTATTTTTAAAAAAATTTAGTGTCATACTTTTCTCATTTGATTATCGTGAAAATCGTTTGTAATTTATTTTTATTTTTTTATAAAAAAAATTTGTTTTTGGAAGTCATTCTGTTTTAAGATTTAGGCTCCATTTGGATTCACTCGCAGCATCAGTGCGAGGAGAATTTTTACCTCTTTGGTGCAATCGCACCATTTCATTCCATTTGGATGTCTACCAGTACAATGTGATTGAGCTTTTCTACTGCAATGGAACAATAATTTTCCAAGGGAAAAAAATGGTCCAATGAGCCATTGAATTGGACTATTTACTCTAACAACATTATTTTTTTATTTTGTATTTATATTTAAATTAATTAATGTCTTATATTTTACTTGTTTAAGACTATTTTATTAAGTTTTAATTGATATAAATATATTATTATCAATTTTTAAAATATATATTGTTGACATAAAAATAATTTTTAATCATTTATTAATTTTATGAATGTCAAATAATTTAAAATTTTTATTATATATAATTTTTAATTTAATCTCTTTAATAATCATTTTCTCGTCTTATTACAATTCATTTTATCGTTGTTATTGCATTTACATTCAAACACATATTTCATTATAAATTTTAATCTCACCGTCATAGTAATTAAATTCGTTCTTACCATTATGATTAATCTCATCGAAATTAATTTCACTAATTATCTAAATGAACCCTTAATTAATTTCTCACAAATTCAAAGTTTGTTAAAAAAATTTGAAATTTTAATGACAATAATTGTGTGGTCTATTGGTACTTGATAGAGTACTAAATTCCTAATTTTAGTACCAAAAAACAAAATTTCTGACAATTTAAGTAAAAAAAAAATTAAAACTTTGATTAACTAGTTCGAAAGCTTTCAGTAAATGATAATATTTTCTTCTTGGGATTAAAATAAAATTTATCACTTTACTATGAGTCAATATTAAAATTTACCATTATACTTCAATTCTTTGAATTTGCATTATGCTTTTAGTTTTGTTTATTTTTAGACAAAATATTTAAATTTATATAAATTTATCATTTGCATTAATAAAATATGGAATGAAATAATTTAATCTTGTTACTTTTTGTTAAAAATCAACAAAATTAAAAGTATAATAAACAAATTGTTATTTACAACATAATATTTTGTAAAATATTTCAATTTGGTTATTTTTTTTTCAAAAATCAACATAACTACAAATGCAACGACAAAATTCAATAAAACTAAAATACAACAACAAAATTTAATATTAAGTTTAGTATAATGATAAATTTCAACTTAATTCTAATTTTCTTTTCTTGAGAAAGGTTAAGATACCATTTGGATTTGAGAATTATGTGTTAAAACTATGCAAAACAATGAGAGAAAACTATAGAGTTAACTTACTTTCAAATTGTCCACCACATGGCATATGGCATATCTTCAAGGCTACAAGTTATAGCTACCAACTTTCAACCACAAAATGTTAGAATTTGTTTTTTACAAAATATTAAAAAAATAAATATATTTTTTATGCAATAAATTAATATAGTCCACATTGTATAAAATGTGAAGATCTTGATGTGGACAGACTGTCGGTGAAGAGAACTTGATGCCTTTAGTACGCAAAGGCTACAAATCACAAACCTTTCGTTTGTTGGACATGTGAACGAAAATCAAGTCTTGGATCTAAAGAATTGAAACGGCGACGACTTGAGAGAAGGTACCGCCAACGAAATTATAAGAAGTGGTAACAACAAAATGAGAAAATACTTTTTGTCACGGAGTACAGCCTGGCCACAGATCATTCTATACTTCTAACCAATAAGGTTCTGCCACGTCGGATCAATAACATGTGTAGGTCCCTTGATCTTTCTCATGATGAATTGTTAATTTTTTCTTTCTGATTTTTGTGTTGGGGTAGTTGACAACTCATGAAATATATCTTTTGTCACCAATGGCTTAGATTTACTCTTGGGGATGGCATGGCAATTTGTGCATTTTATTTTTGGGATATCTTGCATGATCTCGCTCAATTTGAAGGAAAAAAAAATAGAAGCAATATCTGTGAAATTCAGTTGGAATGACCAAACAGGTGAAGAAACATAAAAAATTGATATGAGTTCGAATTATTTCCGTTGAGTTTACTGCATATTTAGAATTAACATTATTTCTGTTGATCTTAAAATAAATGGACTCATTTTTTCATTTGATATTCGAGACTGCTAAAAAATTAAACTTTGATAATCATAAACAAAAATTCAACACTGTATCAACCAATTACATAACTTTATTTCAAACACACGTCTGTTTCCATCAACATTTAGGATGATATGTCATATGTGATATTGGCTTATTGTAAGCTTATTGGGCTGACCTTGAATCCAAATGGGCTGATAATGGTTGGTTTGGTCCTAGTATGGCAGGTATGTTCATAGGACCAAAATTTTTTAGACCAATTCTTTATGTGGATTTACATTGGTACTGGCTTTGAAATCAGCCCACCTGCCCATAATTACCCATGTATTTACCATTTGATGAATTCGAAATTTCTTTGAAATCAATTTTACATGATTGATATGATTTTGGGTATTGCCATAATTTTAGCTTTTGCCAATTTAGTTTCCATTTCAAGTTTGATGTCCTAAATGAAAACTGCAAATTGCCATGAATCTAGCATGATGATTGCCAGCTGGCTACATGTTTTGCAAGAACTAATAGATGATCGTTAACCAATTTGCATATTGAGAAGTTTCAATGCCTTTTGCATTATAAAATTGACCAAAATAAATGGAGGAAACAAGGAAGAAAAAGTCATATAAAATTAAGAGAGATATTTTAGCAAATTTTGAGAGAAAAATGACATTTGTAATATTTTTAATCTCATTTCAGAAGAATATGTGAATATAATATGATATATAAGTTGAGACTTAATTTCATACTTATAAGATGTTTTTTATGAAAAAAATTGTAAGATATTCGGATCAAAACAGATAATACCTAGCAAATTGAATGCGGGTATCCACAAATAATATTAGAATGATCACCAGTCGACGGAAACTAAATGCTATATCGTGAAAGTCATTAAATGCTATATGGTGGGGTCATGAAGTTACTAAGTGCTACATGGTAAGGAGCCACGTTTAGAATTTCAACATCTGGTGTAATCTTGATCTTGTAATTAAACTCGGCTAAGTAATACACTGTAAGGAGTCACCTCAAAAATCTCAACATCTCCAATATCTGTTGTGATCTTGGTCTTGTGATTATACGCGACTCAGTGATATATGGTGGGGAATCACCTTTAAAATCTCAATATTTTGTGTGATTTTAGTCTTACCTGGTTTAACTGGTGGAGAGATTGTAACGTTTTTAATCTCACATTAAAATAATGAATGGATATAATATAATATATAAGTTGAGACTTAATCTCAAACTTGTAAGGTGTTTTTTGTGAAATAAAACTATAAAACTTTTGCATCAAAGCGGATAATACTTCACATGTTGGGTGCCAATTTTCACGATCTTATAGTAATTATATGTTAGAATCTCTTTATCCAAATCATAATTTTATTTGAAAGTATACATGTTATGATGGAGTGGTAGATAAGCAGCGAAGAGGATTCTTTCCCATTTTGATTGTAGGCAAGATATGAATTACCATTTGAGTTGCAATTCAATATTTTTCAAAATGGAAAACAATGACCCTAATATGGAAAATGACTGAATTATCAGATTCTTGATTTGTTCTATATGATCCTAAGCTTATAAATGAGACCTAGATGTCTAGGAAATTGTCTACTCTAGTTTCTAACAAAAATTCTCAGACCCAAAATTCATTCTATTTTCAAATTCTTGTTTGATCAACAAATTGTGTGTTTTTTTGCAAATGTGGTTGGATGCCATTGAAGCTGTGTTTGAATGTACTGCAGGGGCAAGATGGAGGAAAGCAGCTAAGTGGTATGACAGACAGCAGCTTTGTTTAGTTTTTGGTTTTCTTCAAAACCATGTCTTTTTCTTAATTTTTTTTAACATTTTCTGCTTATCTGCAGCAAGAGCCTGATCAAGCAAGTTCAAAGTCATCTAACTATCCTGAGGAATAGGAGAAAGTCTATCATAAGGCAGTCGAGGGCTGATATTGCTCAACTCCTCCAGGATGGGCTGCTTCAAAGAGCCTTGGAAAGGGTATGTTTCTGACATTAACCTGTTTTTTTTAGTATGTAGGACACTATGTTCTCTTTTCAACTGCTTTCTGCATAAATTTGGTGTAGGATGAGAAACATAATACATTTAGTTCAACAGCATACATACATGTCTGAAGTGCACAGAGACAGAAAACTAAAATGAAATAATACAGTTTCAATTACAAGTCATGGTTTTTTTTTTTTTTTTTATACTTTTTTTAGAAGAATTTGATATTATATGCTATGATGAACTTGCTGTCATTGTAATATTCAGGCTGTGCAGCTGTATAAAGATCAGTGCCTGTTGTGTGCCTATGATCAGATTGAACAATTTTGTGGATGCATCATTTCCAATATATCCCATATTACCACGCAAAGGTATATCCTTGCACTCTTTTTTCTTACTTCTCAGTCACCTAAAGTTTTTAGAATATTTCATGTTTCAATCATGTTCATTCTCATTTAAGGATTCTTGTAACTTTCAATTATGCCTAAGTTTATCATTACAGCTCCTGGCATGCGTTGCCAATTGATACGAGTGAAGCTGTGTCAAGTCTGATTTTTGCTGCCTCAAGGTGTGGTGAATTGCCTCAGCTACATCTATTACGAAGCCTGTTCAAGGAAAGCTATGGTTGCGAATTTGATCTGGCCAATGTGGAATTACAACCAGGGAATCTAGTGAAATTTCAGATTAAGCAGAACCTATGCATTAATTCTTTATCAAATAACATGAAGCAGAAGTTAATTAATGAAATAGCTAACGATTATGGTTGTCCTCTTGTGTTTCAGGATCCTGAGGTAAGTTCATAAGTAAAACATTCTGATATGAAATTTGCATTTCAGGTTTTTATGTTCCTAATCTCTTTAACTGACTGATATTCTGGTTTTACATTAACTTACAGCTTCAGGTTAATAAGAAATGCTTCTCTGAGTCGAAACCTGAAGTGCTGGATTTGGAAATCCAAGATAATTCCAGTGACATTGATGAGAATTGGATACAACTTTCTGAGTATGAGACACAAAGGAAGGATATGCCACATTTTAAACCTCTGGCAGCCATTCCAAGCCAATCTCGCATTGACTTGAATGGCTACTATAGCTATACTCAGAATAAGAAAAATGCAACTTTTGTTGACAAGCTGGAAGTTTCATCAACCAGGACTTCATTAGAAAGTTCTACGCCTCAAATTTATGAAACAGCTATTGTGTATCTTGACGATTTGGAAGTGAAAAAAAATGATAGCTGTGAGAATTAGTTGACAACAAATTTAACTGTCACACGTTCAACCTGCAAATTTGTGACCCCTGAAACTAGATACCACAATTCTTTTGTGGAGAATCCTTTAAGGAGGGAAAATGGTAAGAAGTTGGTCAATGGTCGTTTTTCTTTGGATAGTTCACTTGATAAACGGAAAGCACAAGACAATTCCTCTTGGTCAAGCCATGTGCATCCAAGTCTCCCAGAGTATGAAGACTTAGTGGATAGACTTAAGGATCTTAAGGCAGAGTGTAGACGACATAAAAGCTTCTCATTTCTCAAAGTTGTTTAGAGGACAAGTGATGAAATTGAGTCGATTTATTCGGATGAGGAGTAACTGATATGTTAAGGAAATGTCATGATAGGTTGTGGCATATACAGCTTTCGTGGATGCTTCAATGAACGTGCAGTTTCTTTTTTCTTTTCCTGAAGGAAATCCTGTTTTCTATCTTCCCCTTTTTCATTATCTTAAAAGACTAGAGATTAGTTTGTAATAAGGGGCACACAGCCTTTGGTTGTACTCTTTGAAACCAGTAGATTGACATGTTAGCCATTGGTAACATCTTTTCGAGTCCTACTAACAAAAATTACAGGTCTTCATACGGAACAAAAATCGAAGATTTGAATAACAATTACAAATGATTCAAAAATAACTCAAATTTGTATACAAGTACAGAGTACAAACGCATACCAAACAAAAAAAAAAGAATGTGTCTTGATCCTTGCAACATGACATATCAAACAAAGATAAATTACATTATGAATCTTTTTTTTTTCTTTTTTCTTTTTATTCTCATGAATCGTTGAATGGCAGCAACATCAATGGCCTTATTGGTGCGTTCCACCTGAACCTCTCGAACAACCGAAATGTTGAAGCAGAATTATTATGGAATGGCAAGCACAAACTAAACTGCTAGCAAGAATTAACCAGGTCTATGAAATCACTAAGTAGGAGAGTTTCAGCTTTTTCTTCCAAAGAAAAGGAGTTTTCTAAACCCTTTGGCTGCTTTAGGAGAGTTTTCATCATTGTTCCATTTCTTCCTGGAGTGCGCTGGTTCCATATCCATTCCATCATTTGGCGGTGGAGTTGAGATCTCTATTTCAGAAATCCTAGGTGACAGATATTTTTCATTCATTGCACGGTTCCCTTCTATATTTACAGTGGAAAACTTAACCGTCTTGTTAGGCAATGGTGGCATGGGACGAACTGTCATCTCAGGAATATCTTCACCACAATCTTCTGGTGTTTTTTTGTCTTCAGAAACAACAGTAGATGCCTTAGTAAATTCCGCATGACCATTCACATTATCTAATTGCAGTGGCTTATCTTCAGTAACTATATTTCCTTTGGAGCTTCTGTCCTCTGATGTGTTTCTTTGAGAAATTGCATTTTCTTCAGGTTTTACTATTGAAGTACTCTGCAACTCCTGGATGTCTTTGAAATCATCAATAATGTCAGTAGGTTGAGTTGCTTCAGATGCTGCTGATTCCATAGGCAATGCTACCGTGACCTCTTTGGAGTCCTTTCCTTTTGCATCAAAGTCACTGGGAAGTACTTTACTTGTGCCACTTTTCTTATCTGGAGCTTTGACTTTGTTTGTGCTTGATTTCTTATCCTCAACACGAGTAGTCTTTTGAGATACAGTTGTTGAAGAACCATTTTCCTTCAATGTTGACTTTTCTGGCTGGCTTGATTTTGATTCAGCTGATGAGGCCTTTGAAGTATTCCGTGCACTTGCAAGGCGTTCTATAGTGGAACTTCTAAGAACCGGCTTTGGTACTTTCTTTGTGTCCTGAATCTGAGGTTGACTCTTCATAGAAGTTGAAGTTTTGTTTTCCGTGGAGCTCCTCCTGGAAGTAACTGGGTTAAGGCCACTAGCAGCACTCCTCTCAGCAATCCTCTTCTGGCGCTGAATTCGTAACTCCTCGATTTTCTTTCTATTCTCCTCTTCCTATTTGAAAATAGAAAGGGCAAGGACAAGAAATCAGAAAACAGATCAGTATCTTATACTGTATATTAACCACAATACCACATGTTAAAGGACAAGACAAGTGGAAACTTTTATGTGCTAAGACATAATGAGAAATGCCATGTGTTTCTTTTGAATGCTTTTCAAACAGCATGAGATGATATGCTATCTTGTAGTTTGGAAGATTTCAAGAAAGAATGAAAGCTAAATAAAGCAATGCATTAAAATTCTTAGCTACATTGAGCATTGCTGTCTACTGTCTTCATTCTGTGAGGAAACAACTGGTTGATAAATACCCGATCAAATTTAGTTTTCCGTACTGTGGTTCGGCTTCCAGCTGGTGGTTTCTTGATCTTTGATGCTATGTCTAACTTGCTTTTGACAAGAGATCCATTCGAAACTCTAGAACGGGCTTCTTTATTTGAAAGTTTCCCCTCAGGACTTCCATGTCTTTTACCATTAGCACCCTTTTCATCAGCACCGGTTATTTCAACATCAGAGTGCCTTCCATTTGCTTCAGCAGATAATACGTTCATTTCATAGCCAATTTCTGGAGTCCAAGAAGTCATGGCATTCTTCTCAGCTGAATCACGTCCAAGGATCATGTAAAGGTCATCTGGCTCATAGGAAACAGAAGCAGCCTTCTGTACATTTTCTGAATTGCCATTTTCATATTGAGTAGCTTCAATTTCTGGAACCATGCCTATGCCTATCCTTAACTGAGAATCAAGTTGATCTTCTCCCACTGATGGACCTTGAATCATTAAAGAGTCATCAACAAAAACATCCTTCTTGTTTTCTTCACTGTTGAAACGTTTGCTAGCTAATGAAGGAGCATTATCTCCATCAAACATTTTGAGGCCCATGATCTCATCCTGATATGCTGATTTATCCAGTTGGTTGTTGATAAACCATTCTCCTTCTTTGCGACTTTTGATCATAGTAGATTCTGCAGCATAATCGGACATATTAGCTAGGGATCTGATCCCAGAATCATTGCCTTGCAACATTAACAACTCCTCATTTGAGCTCTCTCTTCTCCTAACAAACGGGCCACCAAATTCATTAGTTCCAAAGTTTCCACCTCGAGTTTCACCTTCATAACCCCTACCTATCTGTGTGGCCAGAAAGGGATCACTTGAGATTGCTTGCTGCTTTCTTACTCCCTCAGAGTTCGGGTTAAATGCTGATGACCTCCCATCCTTAGAGCCCTTGCTTGAAAAATATTCCTCTTGCAACCTTACAGGGTGTGGATCTACTTCTGAAGAATCCAAATCTTTGTCCTGCAACAGAAGGTTCTGGAAAGCATCCCAGGGGTTGTTTCTTTTTTCTCCCTGAGAATTTTTTGCAATAGCAGCCTTAGTTTCCTGTTCATCTTCATCATGTAAAACAGTGTTTCGATGCTTGCTTCCATCGAGTTTCTTATGATGGCGTGAGGTAGATTTATGTTGTTTCCCTAATGATCCAACAGCCTGCTCTACTTGCTGTTTGAGGGAATCTCCATCAATGAACTCTTCCTCATCAGAAGTCTCTTCAGAATCATTGTCCCTTTCCCCATTCCTCTTGGAAGAAATGTAATTAATATTACGGATGACAACCCTTCTAGAGGATTTCTTTCCATGCTTTTTCTTATGCACCTGCTCTTCCGGTTCACTCTCAGAGCTGGAATCACTAGGCTCCGTGGATTCATCTTGCTTTGAAGTTTCATCTCCCTTATCACGTGAAGATTTCTTCTTGCTCCTAGATGATGATTTATGACTTCTATGATCGTCTGGTTCCCAAGCACGAGCAAGACTAGAATCCTCTACATTAGGAGGCCAATTCATATTCCCTGGATAATACGGAGGGGCAGCATGCATACCAGGAAAAAAGTAGCCTTGATATGGAGGCATTTGTTGAAATCCGGGACCCTGAAAATTTTGCATGTACTGAGGAAGATGGGGTGGCCATGGCATTTGTACTTGAGCTCTCCCGTCTGTGGATGGCAAGCTACCATCTGTAGAAGATGTTAAATGATTTCAAAACATGAACTACTAATTCAAAGAAATTAACTATTCTACAATAGAAATTATACGAAGTCACAGCTGATGAAATATAGATCATCATTTGAGGCAGAAGAAATTTGGTATCCATCCTTACCTGGGTTAATATCTCCACTCCCAGCATCAGAGGCACCAGCTGAACCATTTTGCTTCCCGTTAGAGAAATTCACCATAAGATTTTGATTAGGATCATTTTCTTCCCCAGCAAGTATGATTCCAGATGTTCCAAGGTAGGACAAGTCTGGTCTAGGACATGCTTGCATTGCTGCTAATTCAGCCATCCAAAGCCTATCTTCATTCTTTCTCTTGCATAAGTCCATGAAATTTATGCAGGCTTCCCTGACAGAAAAAATCAGTAGACTAATTTTTCTAGTGGTGGAAAAAGCCCCAACATGGAATATAAATGGTCCTTTATTTTGGATGTATAATATTAAACACACATATGTAAACAATTATTTAATGTCTATTTGATAGAAGAAAAACCATAAGAAAGTAAATTATGTGAATGATAATTCTATGGATTATGTCACAAAAATGCATATAATCCGCATCAACTTCAATTACTTTAGATTAATTAGGCTAAATTCTCCAGAACTTGTCAAAAAAGTGTTGGACACGGATGAACAGAGCTTCCATAACCTCAAGTGTCCAATACTGCAAATTTCAAACCGAATAAGTGTCTTTTCGATAAGAAATAACTTATTTTGTTTAAATGAAAAAGACACACCAGCAAGCTCCCATTCAATCTTGTGCTCATAATAGCCAACACCTTCACTCGAGTTTTATCTCTACAAAAACAATCCTAAATGGTGAAAATCATTCCATTTTGACATTGCCTTTGTACCTTAAACGCGAAGCACCAAAAGCATCTGCGAAAGATATGAGATCATCTATGTTATCGGGTTCATATCCAGCAACCAAAGCACGAGCATAAGCCATTGCTTGCTCTTTAGAAAGTACTTTCTTCCTAGTTTCCAAAACTCGTTGAAGACGAACCCTGCATGTTAACCTCAGGTGAGCAATGACTGCATTTTAATAGAAATGTAATGAAATCAAGCTATTGTGAGTAATTGCAGGACAAGGTAATTTACTTGGAATTTTCTTCTTGAACAGCATCACCGGTTCCATTGAATTCACCTTTTGACTGAATGCAGCATCATAGCACAAGTCTGGAATTAAGATGTGTGCTATCATGGAAACAAAACCAACCAATGTTTAGCAGAAGGCAGAACATACCTTAGATGAAGTAAATGCTTTTTGGAAATTTCCTGATATAACTG